TACTTGTCCTGTGAGCCTATGGGCGTGCAAGATTCTGTCAGAGCCTCAATGAACTTGCACCTCCCTAAGGCCAGGGTAGATTGCACCATATGGCCCGAGGCTAAATGTAGGTCAGGTTGCTCTCAGTGTATAAAACAAGTGAATCTATATTATGTGATATAAAGCTGACCTGAGCATTTATATTGATGTACACGATTTGGAAATAATGTAAGTCTTCCTGATCTTTGGGGGTAAAAAATTCTGTTTAAGCTCTTTTCTTCTCTCTCCACGTGACTTTTCTTTTCTCCTTACGGGGCTTACGAACAGGAGCTTTAGTTATCTCCCCAGATCTGAGGTCCCTCTTGTCAGGATCACGTGCAGGAAATCTCTGCAGAAAAGAGTTCACGTCGGAGGTGTTTTTTTTCCAGCAACAACAACAAAAAACAACACATTGCATTTATATAGCCCCTTTCACCTCGGGAGGACATCTCTAGGGGCTGGTAATTTTCCAGCTTGTTGAGATACTCAAGCTTCTTTCCAAACCCACAGACTAGGCTCTTGAGTTGTGGATGAGAGCAGAGAAGTGAGCTCCTGCTGAACTGTGCTTTTATCTAATTGGAAAAGTGAAGTTTGCATAGTGCAAACCGATGACAGAGAGGTGGAGGGATTGCGTATGGCATTTATGAGCAGACAGCAACTTGGGGCCCGCTTTGGTTACTCTTTACATTAAAGATGTTTAAAGATCTATTAATCCAACTGCCTTAAACCTCGGCAGATCCGGCTGATTAGTTTATTACTTAACCACTACCATATGGTCAAATGGTATTTATATATGTACAGGTCCCCAGGAAACCTATTATCACTTCAGTAATAGTGGGTGTCATAAAAAGCTTTATAAATTGCCTTTATTCTTGCAATAAACATTAACTCTTTATGCTACTCAGTGGGAGCAGTTTTTGAGATAATTAATGTTTGTAGTCGTACAAAATGTCAGGGATTGCTGTCACGCCTGCATGCCAAAATTCTAACGGGTAGGGTGGCCCTAGTTGAACAAGCAGCGGGACTGTTGCCAGTGTTCCAACAGTGATTTAACTGGGTAAATTCTACGAGGACTACAACACACACAAGCCTTAGGTTTGGCCAACCTGTACCTATACTCTCCAGGTAATCAAGGGGCAATCCTCCTGGGATACAGTGCACACTCTATACCAGGCAAATGGAAATTTCCATACATATATGACATTTCAGTTTTTGTCTTGGATACTCTTTTAAGCATGGCAATGTGTTTCTGCATCTGTCAGACATTCGGTTGAACTCCCAGCCCCCAAATTAATTCTCTACAAAAGTGCATGCACGGTACCGCACACATTCTCTCTATCTCTCACGCACATACATACCACACACAACAACAACAAATTACATTTGTATAGCGCCTTTCATGTCGGGAGGACGTTCCAAGGTGCTGAGCAGGTACACACGCAGCCTAAATATAATCGTTCACTTAATGCTGTTTGTATATTGTTGCTGGCACAGATTAGCTGCTGTGTTTGCCTACATAACCACCCACCATAAAGTCATACATTGTGTGGAGCTCTTCAAGATGCTTTAATATACAACAACAACAACAACAACAAGATTCCATTTATAGAGCGCCTTTCATGTCGGGAGGACGTGATATAATATAATACAGTGCTATGTTAAATGCAAGTATTTTATTAACGGATTCAGAACCCAACTGCCAAGAGTAATGCACTACGGCTATTTTGCTTCCCCCTCCGCTACTTTTCAAACTGAATGTCACTGTTTTCTCCATGGCACTTCTGGCCTGACAGCTATTAGGCTGCTCCCAAGCCATTACCCAGGGCTTTTGCTGACCAGGTATCCAGCGTTGACCTGAGTGTCAGGTTCTGAAATCTTGTACTTTTCCCTCCTCTCCTCTTCCTATGGAGAGGTGGCAGACGCTGTGCCTGAGATCAGCACCTCACAGTGAGCATGTGTTACAGCTTTGAATGTCCTGTCAAACGTTTCTCATTCATAGTGTGTAAAGAGTCACAATTCCTGACACGGGCAAAATGAGCTGCTGTTTTTACCATTGGCATTCAGTCTTATCAGGGTGATAATTGCAATGATGTCACCTAGTAAATGTCACTACTGATAGTTATCACATCATTGATGATAAGCGCAGTCGGTACAGTAGATCAGTTCAGACTGACTGTGGGTGTAACCGCTCCCCTGACTTTAGCATGGTTGGCCCAAAGTAGTCCAGAGTGGTCAGCACTGCACCTTTGGACTTGACTGGCTTCACTCTGATTTTTTTTGTGTGTTTATTGAAGCCGTTATCTGTGTGGGGGCTGAATGGACAATGGTGGCTTTGAGCCTAGCCGTTGCGATGAAGTTAGGACAGGGAAAATGGGTTGACGTTGCGATGATTCAATTTGGCTTTTCACAAATTATTAATTGGGGAAGACTTTCCCAGTACTTTCTATTTCAACTCAAATTTCTAGTATTCACAGTTCCGACATGAAAAAAACTCTATAAAAATGCACGTTCTTTGTTTCTTGTTTAAGTGTTCCGGGATACTACCCCGGGTGAAGGGCGCTATATAAACGCAACTTATTGTTGTTGTTCTTCTCGTTTCTTGAAGATTAGCTGCCTTTGTCCAGGAATTGAACTGGCCTGGATTCCATGTGGTTATAACATCTGTCCACCAGCAGAGGGTGAGATAGAGTGTGGGCTTTGCTCAGAGCAGGGTTCGTTTCTCTCAGTGACATTTGGGCTTCCGCTGAACTGGTAGCTTCCACTTTCAGACTTGGACTTGGATTTGCTATCAGTGATAGTCCACAATTTGCTGCCAGTGGGTAAACTCCAGGAGGACCACTGTGCTGTGTACTGCAGTGTAACAAGCACCTAATACAAGCTGATGGATAGTATGTGCTTCTGTCTCAGAGCTCCTGTGTTGCCATCATTCAAAATGCTATTGAATTAACATTCCTACTCTTCTATTAAACAGCAGCTAACGCACTCTGACCTTTAACCTGGAGCCTCATTCACCCTCCAACCTTTCCCGTCTCTTAACTTCTCCTCAGCTGAATTTCTTCCTCTCATTGTTTGGCTTACTCAGGAAGAGCAAAATGGTGGATATTGTAGCACAGAAAATTCCCTCTGAGACTGATGTTGATGTGGCGAGAAGCTTTCTGATGAAGATCTTGAGAAGTTCCATGAGGTAACGATGCCCATTCCCATGACTTCCCTTATCCCAACCACCACTATCACTACCATCCACCTCCAACCATTGGCCGGTGGCTGACTAGCCCTTGACTATTTATACATTATGTCTCCCTTTTATACTTAAATATTTATGTTACCATTGATGTTGTGACCTTGTGACGCTATGATCAATAGTGAATTGTGTTTGAGTCTAAGTTTGTGTGTGTGTATACTGTACGTGGTAGCAATTATCCTCAAGATAAAATGAAGAATTTGTTTCATTTCTGAGTTTGCCTTGGTTAGTGGAGCAGGCTCAATTATTTCTCATTTCAAGCATGGTTCTTAATACATTGCATCTGAAAATGTCCCATTAAAAACAAAATCACCCAGACGTTTTATCATGTGGATTAAAAACTGTTCTGTTCACAATCTTACAAATTCACAATGTTATTGCTGTGTGCTTACAATGAATGATTGCAATTGTAAAGTATAATTTGATTTACATCTTTAATACCATGGTTTTTATACTTTAAAATTGCATTTGATTTATGGAGAGGTACAAGGGAAACCTTATGAAATTTACCAAATGGAGCAGAAAAGTCACATTGGCTGGAGCACATGGAGCAGAATAATTTCCTAAATCTCAAATGACTGGTGTGAAATGGTGCTTAGTCCCTCTGGCTCTAGCTCTGCATCTTGAATCTGGCTCCTGGGATGACTACTTGGCAATAAAGATGCTGAACTGACAAATGTCCTTTAAAACATCAATGAATCTGGAACTAAATACTTATTTTGCAGTGTGTTGTATTTATACAGTATTTTCCACAGGCTGATTAGTGTTGGTGAGAGATGGTAACTGATGTCAAGAAACTAGATTGTGATTAACTTTAAGAAAAGGTTCATCAATTATCAAAGCCCCCAGTAATGCTCGCAATACAAATAGAAAGTTGTGCCTTTCAGCCACATCCCATAACTTTTATCTATTGTAAAGTCTCACCTTTTAGTTTGTCCTCTTCTGCACATGGCCGGATCCAAGAAACTGCCAGAGCTGGACAACAACAAATGATGCTATATAATTGCATTTATATAGTGTATTTCCCGTCAGCAGAATTCTATATGTTTTCTTAGTTTTTTTCGAGTTGCTCTCATCATGTATGCAATTTTATTCATTCACCAGCTTAGTAACAAGTACCTGCTGGTCTTAAAAATGTTAAGTGAAAAGCGATACCTCTTGCGGACACTAACACTGATGTGAATCACAGGCACTCTCGCTGAATTTTCAAAGCAACTTCGGAATCTTTATTGTAGGATTTATTGATCCGTCAAACGGAGTAATCCTATCTGCGCTTTTATTAAGTGTAACGTATTAGGTTTAGTCGTTTTGTGCAGCTGGACCATCAATAGTTCTTGCAGGAACTAGTGCTTTGAATGAAAATGGCATGTGCATTACACTGTAATGGGACTTTATTTTAAATGCACCAGACTCGACAAGGCACCAATCTGACTGGAGGTTAATGGTGAAACAAAATCATTTCCGGAGCCTGCAGCCTTGCTCCCCATTCTTGGGGGTTTTAGTTGGGAGCAGGTTGCTTGCTCAGCACCAGTGTATCCAGTAAATCACATTGCTGGATGAAGCTCAGATTTTATTTTTGTTTGGAGTTGCTGTTGTTGGCCTACATGTCGGAGTGCTTTTTCACAAACAGAACAGCTGAGTCTTCAGTTGGCAGGAAATGCTGTAAAACCCTGGTTTAAAATGATTCACTATTTTCTGCATCACTTGGTAATTTTATTTTGAACCTGCCTCTCTATTGCAGACGTAATGAACCAGTCAGTAGGCCTCACTCTTGGCATTCAACCAAGTTCATAGATAGCCAGCCGGAGCCTGCCATGATGCAGCTGTCAAACACTGGCGTGTGTGCATCCTGGCATTCAAGGTATTATGCAACGTAAGTACACAACCCTTCATTTCTTGCATTTCGGCTGAGTTTAGGCTTTTGATGGCCTTCAAATTCCTTCAGCGCCAGTGGCCCTTGTGATTAAAACTCACATTGGGATATTTGACTGTCAGTCATTAAGCCTTGGCTTCTGGTGGGTCCAAGGCAATATTTTGCACTCTTTCTGTTCCATACACTCTTGACACTGAAATATGAACCCCATGAAACTGAACTAAACACATAAAACACAATTTCAATTGAAAATTAAAACCATTTTATTCTGTTCCAACATGTTGCCCCTATTTCTCCATGCTATCTTTGTTTCTAATCTGGCAAACCTCTTCGAATGCACCTTTGGTCACCTCCCCCTTTTCCCTTGCTTTGCGCCCAACCCCCACTAATATGCAATGCTCCGAGACAATATCCTGCGTGAAGGGCAGTATATAAATGCAAGTTGTTATGATCTCTCTGTGTCCAATTTTTATTTTGACAAATTTATTTTTACCCTTCCATTGTGTAGTGAGGTTAAAAGTAGCTTCGTCTCCTCCCCCTCACTGCTGCCTGGCTGAAATGTAACTCAGCACGGACCGGAAATCGGTCTTGCATCTTCTGGATCTATAGAGTTCAGCGGCTCCCTGCATAAACTCATTGAACCATCAAGGGAAGGTAGAATTTACAGTTGGCCGTTGACTTTAAGACTTAAGTCTCACAATTCTGGATGTTTTTGATACATTTTGTAACATTTGTAACAGACAACATTTCTTTACACAAAGGATTGTGAATACTTGCACTGAATTGCTCCATAATAAAATAATTAATTGAGGTGTTTAAGAAGAGGCAGGATATTTTGGAGCCTCACACAGAACTCTCGACTCTTGAGAAACTGGAACCCTTAGTTTGTTTACTTGTAGTTTAATTGCCCCTTGAGGTTTACTGTGATTTTAGACAAAGTCGTCAAAAGGCAATCACTACACTAGGCACCTCCACATTATATGTAATGTGAGTCTTCTAACAACTATCCTCACTGTGCTTTCTGTCTAGTTCCTCGTCAAACGATCTTTCAAATTCATGGGACCAAACAAACCTGTGTCGTATATCTGACCAGTTCAGCTCTCTGGGCAGCATGGACAGCCTGGACCAGCCTCCGCAGATCTACCAACAGGAGAGATTATCCCCCACTAGGTCCAGTAACAGCATGGATCACATCGCTCAGCACAATAAACGGGATTCTGCTTATAGCTCTTTCTCCACCAGCTCCAGCACACCAGACTATACTCTGTCATCATCCAGGAATGAGAACTCGTCCTCTACTGAGAACATGCTGAATAAAATGGGCCACTGGGATGCTGCAAGGCATGGCAATGGCAGGCACAGCCAAAATCTGGGCAACCAGAGTGGCTTAGAGGACAAACAGGGATATTTGGCACCTGGGGTTAGTAATGAAGAGAGGTTCAGCCCGAGGCCGGATGAGCAGCTGAGTTCCAGACATCACAGTGCAGGTCGGCCGAACTTTGGACCAATCTGGCATATTCCTTCTGGCGAGAACCGGATTTCCAAGATGCTGTCCCCTCCCCCACCCCCTCCTGTCCGCAGCGACAGCTTTGCTGTCACCAAGGTCCATGAGAAAACACACGTTTCTGCGTTTGCCGATGTTTGTGGCCCACCACATTACTCGGCCTTGAGTAAGCCCCAGCCCAGAGGAGGTTGGATTGCAGAGGTGCCTTCCCATGTGAATGACAGAGGGAAAGAAGGAAGGGAAAACCCTTACAACGTGACCAACGTGTGCGAAACTCCCCATACAGCTTTCTCCCCGTCGGCAGACAGCAACAAACACTTAAGTGAAAGCAGGCTCCAGTATTCCCTGTCGAGTTCTGATATACGCTTTCCTCAGCCCACATACTCTTCCCATCACCAACGCCAGAGCAGTGACGAAGGCAATTTTTACCACAGTGACCGGGCTGTGTTTCCATCCAAACCACCACATTCAGGATATTGCAGTAGCATGCAGGAGTTGCCAACTCAGAATTCCCACTATTATAATCCAATCCAGATTTGGCCAACTAAAACCCCTTCTCCCACTGCTCCGGCAGTACATGGAATTTCTCCAGGGCCTGAGAATGCTGGGCAGAGCAGGTATTTCTGTATTACTTCCAGACAGCCTCCACCAGTGAACATTCAGCCTTCCCAGATCAAAGTGGATTACTGGGAAAACTCCAAGGCAGCAGCGATTACTCCAGGGCAGGTTGAAGACAGCAACAATCCAGCACCCAGCATGGGACAGAAGCAACCCAAGTACTATCACTCCCAACAGCCGTCCCTCAGCCTTAATGATAACAGCGGCCTCGGGAGGGTAGAGACTTGCAAAGCAAGGATGTCTGTACCTGTACCAGATAATGTTATAACACAATTAATGGATGAAGAAAAGGGAAGCCAGTGGGGAAACAGTGCATACAGCAATGGGAAAGACCCCACTGGTTCATCATGCAGCCATCAGCTTGGTTTCAAGAACTCCATTGGATCTAGTGAAAGCAGACACCAGCCGAAAGAGCCATGGATGCCAGATGGAGACAGCATTGCAATATGCCCCCACAAGACGCCCATGCTACACTCTCTTACACAAGAAAATGAAAGTCTTCAGGAGAATTGGATGGAAGGTTCAGTCAGGCAGCAACTGTATGAGCTGTCGCTGGCCAAACAGATGCGGCGGAGCGATCGCTTTGCCACGGCTCTTAGGAACGAGATCCAGATGAAACGCGCACAACTGCAAAAGAGTCGAAGTGCTGCTGCCTTAGCAGGTCCCGGTGAACTGGAGGAGGATGTGGAAAGCTGGAAAGAGGAGTCCACAGGTAACTCAAGATCCTCTTCGGACGGGTCATTCTCCAGTTCTTACAAGGATAACTTGAAGGAGGCTCAGGCCAGAGTGCTAAAGGCAACTTCTTTTAAGAGGAGAGACTTGGAGCCTGTGCTGACTGAATATCGACCCAAGTCGCCCGAGTGCTCAGCATTCACTAACAGTGCAGCAAGCTCCACCCTGGGTCCTCGAGATGGATCACTGTCAGCCTTTCTGGACACTGCTGAAAGCTACCCTGACCCGCCAGTTGGTGGCAGCCACCACGTTTCACGCGTGGGTGGCAGGAAGCGGTTCACTCAGGAGCAGAAGCTGCGATCCTACTCCGAACCGGAAAAAATGAACGAGGTGGGAATGTCTGAGGACGTCCAGCCTCCTCAGCCACCAAGGAAAACAAATTTCAAATCCTTTGCAGACAGACGGAAGTTCTTTGAGGAAAGCAGTAAGACTGGCCATCCTACAACGCACAGCAAGCCGTCACCCAAACACAACTCCCAGCGTGCTGCGGGAGAGCTGGCCTCCGGTAAATCTAGGAAGCCACACTCAACTGAGGCAGAGGAGCCGGGTCAGTCTGTTGCTGAAGGCAGAGCCCGAGCAGCCTCTCTGGGCTTCGAAAGTGCATTGGCCGATCATCCCAAGACCAAAGACTTGGGACCTGATCCAGCCTGGGACCTGAGCAGGAGTTCATCTCAAGGAAATGTAGTAAAGCAAAGCAGTCTACCTGAAAGGCAAGAGTACTTTGTGAATCCCAGTGAAAAAGATGTCAGCACGCACGAGACAGCAGGTCAGCCTGAACCTCAGAGGTTGGGCACGTTTGCAGAATACCAGGCAACCTGGAGAGAGCAGAGGAAGGTTTCAGAGGCTAGAAGTTCTGGAAGGTACCATTCGGCTGACAATATTCTCGACCAGAGTTCACAGGAACCTGTAAAAATACAGTACGTACATGAGAGATCCCGGTCATCACCTTCCAAAGACTTCTATGCTCAGGTGAATTGTATTTTCATGAGTAAATCATGCTTTTTTTAATACCTACTATTGTAGTAACAAAAGATTTTTAAGAAGTCCCTCTCTCCAGTCTTTTCTCTCTTTCCGATTGTCTCCTCCTCTCCCTAACTCTGGCGCACTGAATCCAGTACAGTGAACCTCACATAAGTGGTATCAGTTGGGACCATATATTTAATTTGACTTAAGTAAAGTGTGAGTTACATCAAACTTGTGGATTTAATAAGAAATTCAATGGGACTTGAGCACATGTACAACTTGGATGATTATACGATTTATATGCTTTATACGATTTATGCCTTGGGGCGTCCTCCCGACGTGAAAGACGGCTATACAAATGTAATTGTATTGTAATTTGTATTGTATTAGTGCCTCAGTTTGGTTAAGGCTGCACTGCCTGCATTTCGAGCCGGAACCTTACTGCTTGCTTTTTTTTAGTTCAAATTGAACAATGCTTTTACACACTGAGCTGTAAGGGGAAGCTTCTGAGGAAATGAACATTTGTTCAAATTGCCTTGCACTTTAGAAGGATAAAAATCTCAAACTGATGTAGTTTACCCACACAATGAGCTTTTTATGAGCCTTAGAAAGAGCTGTCATAGTGAGGTGCACCATCTAGAGTACATATGGGGAATTAATTCCTTAAGAGAAATGGGTATCATACCAGAGTTGTGATAACAAATTGCTCATGTACATGAATACTTATCACCAAATCCTGCAGCATGATATCATATGATAAAGGATCAAACGATAACAATTTATCATAAAACATAATCTCTGTCTGCATGTTCAGGTGGACAATAAACATTTTATGACACGACTCGAGAAGGGAATTTCACAGGCGTGCTAGCCAACAAACCCCCAGCTAAAATTGGGCATTCACTTCATGAAGTGGGACATTCCTGTGTGCAAATTGGGTGCTGTGTTTGCCTTCATAATACAGTTTATCCTGTAAAGTGCTTTGAAATAATCCTTGCATTTGATATAATGCCATTTTCCAACACGAAAGGTGTAATTTCAAACTCAATGATTATTATTATTATTTACCTCATTTCAATTAATCTCGATTAATGACTTGCAGTCTGGCAACCATATCTTTCCATAGCTAACTAATGGGAAGTGCATGCCCATATTTTTTCACATTCTGCCTTCCCCAAATTATAACGGGAAGATCACAGCACAGCAAGAACATTAATTCAGTTATCTCAATGAGAAGCAATGGGCCTCACTGCCAACATTTGCAGACAGGCTTAAGTGATTGACAGGCCTGGAACTCAACCCTATTATCATCTGGCGGGGGGGAGGGGGAAACAGTGGTGGAAGCAGCAAATGCACTGTCCGTGCTGCTAGCTGCCATTCAGTGCACATGCATACAGAAACCAAACTAGATTCAGATAAGTATTGGGTGAATAAGAACCAAAGAAAGATGTTGGTGAACTGCACAGAGCTGCGCACTTAACAGTCGTTCTCCCTGTCGCAAAGACAAATCCTCTACCTCTCAGACTTTCCAAAATGTCTGCTTCACATTCTGTGCCGGGTGGCTTGAGGAAAACTAAAGACCCCAAATAATATGTTATCAACTTACTTCCTGTTTCAACCATTTTGAAGGATGTTCCCATTGAAGTGAGGAAGCAGCCGGACAGTTTCCACAAGGCGATGGAGTACACAGCTGCCACAGTGGACAACAGAAGGAGCAGCTCATCAATGAGGTGGGTGAATGGAGCAGTGGGGAAGAGAGGGGGTGGGAGAAAGAGTCATCAAACCAGCAACTTACACCTGAACGTTACTTTGGTTGCCATGCTAGCTGTATTTTGGTTGGTTACTCCTTTGTGAGGAATAGTGTTCCTGCCAGCAAATGAGATTTTCAGGTGGTTCTAATATTGGAATTACTGGAATAAAAAGTGGCCGAAATTATTTTATTTAAGAAAAAGACCTCTAGTTTTTTTAAAAAAAAAGTCTTACGTCAAACTAGAGAAGATCTGACTTTGTCTACAAATGTAACCAGCGTGTAGTCACCATCCTCTCCCCCCCACCCCCTCCCCACCCACTCACCCAATCCCCATATTATAAGAGGGAGTTTTCAATGCTAAGTTAAAGAAATCGTAAAACTTAATTTCAAATTTTTATTCCTTTTCACTCTAGTAGTTGCAGGAGGCAGGATAGAAATTCTTCGGGTTTCAACTTTGGCACAACTGAAAAAATTCTTACTGTTTGCACAAATTCTTAACCATCTGTTGCCCACTCCTCATCCTCGGAATTGTCACCGCGGTTATTATATCCAGGCATTGAAGTTTTTAAAGAAATTCAAAGAAATGATATGCTGCTATAATTCTCAGTTAATAATTCAGCATTAGAAATGTAGATACAATAGTTTGTATAGATATTTAGGGAGAAAGCAGGGTGAGTTGTACCCGTTTTGAAATTTGTGTGGATTATTGTTCTGGGAGGCCGTGCGTTTCTGGGACTAAGTAAGTTGGTGTCTAATGCTGTGTCAACATGTGGAAGGTTTGAGCTTTCCATAGTTTTCAATAATGAGCCTGCAAAATGGTCAGCAGAAACGTTATATCTTAAATGTTTCAGACTGTTTTTCTCTTCTATTTGAAGACATGTCTAGCAATGCTTGAACTGTAATCTCATGGTTATTAGATGTGACAGCTGATGCCACTGAAGTGGAACGTAGAGAGCTTATTCAGCCTGTTGGCGTGGTGTGGTCTGGTTACATGATCAGAGGTAATGATAGAACATGAAACCACTGCTGATATAGAGTCATATTATGGATCTTTTCCCTCTGTGTTGAGGCTTTAACTCACCAGAAGTTAGTCGATTGGCAGATCTGGGGGGTAATAATCTCTCCAAAAACAATAATTTGGTCATTCAATCTACGACTGCTTGTGGAATGTCGCTGTGCACAATTGGCTGCCGCGTAGGCTGTTTCGCCCCAAAAATACACAGTCATTACACTTTATGGTATATTCTGTGAAGCGCTTCGAGATGTCTCGATGAATTGATAAAGCAGTATTTCAATTGCAAGGATTATTATTATTTCAATGTTAAGTCTGGTTTGTAGAACACTTAGCTTTGGAAGCTTACCTTAATCCTATCTACTGTTATGCTTTTGGGGATGGAATTTGGGATGTTCACAAAAGGGGATGGAAGTGCTAATTTGATCGGCTTTGGTTCAGATTTCCAAATGCCACCAATGTGTGCGAAAGGCAGGAGCACAAACCCATGTTTCATTCTTGACCTTTTTTTCACCACTTTAGACAGTTTTTAAAATCACAATTTGTTCTTCCCATCCCTTTTGTGAATAGCGCAAATTAAATCCCAACATAGTCATTTGAAAAAACTTTAAAAGTGTTATATCAAAATAAACTGAAATCCATGAGAAGATTCCTTTAGGGATGGGCTATGCTGCGGAGGATATTGTATGACAGCATTCTATCACCAATCACATTGCTGTACTCTTCTCTCTGTCCCAACATTGACTGGAATATTTGTTTTATACTTGTATTTTGGTACTACCTCAGTAGGTTCCATTTGCTCAAACGATGAAGTATTGATCAAAGTATTATCTGTAAAATTTACCCAAGTTAGTGTAAAACTAGCCTAAGTTATGAAGGAATACTTCCTCATGCATAATAGTAATAATAATAATCCTTGCATACATGAGGAAGAAGGCTCATGTGGCGTATAAAGACCGGCATGGACTAATTAGGCCAAATAGCCTTTTTGTACAGTCTTTGTAATTCTATGTAAACTCTGAACTGCAAAGAAAACTTTACTGGCCTTTTTCACACAGCACTAAAGTACTATATTTTGACCGCAAAGGAGTATTATGCACTGCAATAGAAACCTTTACCACAGTTTGAGGCAGTAAGAAGATTGAAGCAATGTGTGTGCGGTCAGTGTTAGTTTACTACTAACGTGCTACCATGTGAACTGAACGGAATGCAAATGTTTTCTAGAAGCTCGTTTGGATTTCCACCAGAAATGACAACCGTTTAAAGTTCTTCTATGTACTTGGCAGTTGATGCGATTGTGCCTAAAAACATGCTTTAGGAGGCAGCCTTTCAACCAGAAGCTATGAATTCACAGTCTAGGCTGACACTGCAGTGCAGTTCTGGGGGAGGGGCGGGTGGTGTTAGAGATGCCACCCTTTGAGTCAGACATTAAACCAAGGTACTGTTTTCCTGTTTAGGTGGACGTTAAATATCCGATGCAACTATTTGAAAAGAGAAAGCAATTTCTCCTCTGGCCATGAAAAAAAGGTCATTCACTTCTTGACTATTTGTGGGACATTGCCATGCACAAATTGACCCCCACATTCATCAACAAATAATGCAGTCACTGCACTTTTCAGAAAAACTGTGAAATACTTTGAGATGTTCAGACGTGACAAGGTGCTTTATGGCTACAAAGCCCACCTTCCACCCCCACTCCTTGATAATTAACACGTCAAGGCTCGAACGTGACTATTGGCCACTTAGCTACCAGAGGGTGATCTGTACCTTTAGAACCGTATCTAACTAGCAGTCACACAACTTAATAACAGGATGGCGAAAACAACAACAAGATTACATTTATATAGCACCCTTCACGTTGAGAGGACGTCCCAAGGCGCTCGATAGTGTACAGCATTTCAGACCCGAGATGGGATCAGGGGGCGAGAAGGGAGGAGAGGGGAAGGGGGGTGACCGATGACATGGTCGAAGAGGAGGGTTTTGAGGCGGGACTTGAAGGAGGTTAAGGAGGAGGCGAGGCAGAGTGACTGGGGGATGGAATTCTAGAGGTTGGGGGCAGAGTGGCCGAAGGCTCTCCCACCAATGGTGGGGCAGATGGGTCGGGGGAGCAGGCCAGAGCCGGCTGAGTGGAGGGAGCCGGCGGGTTGGTAGCAGGTTAGGATGTCGCAGAGGTAGGGTGGGGTGAGGGCGAGGACCAGGATCTTGAACTGGATCCTCTGAAGGATAGGGAGCCAGTGGAGTCGGGTGAGAATGGGGGAGATGGGATCAGGGAGTTTGGTGCGGGAGAGGACACGGACTGCAGAGTTCTGGATTATCTGCAGCCTGTGGAGGGAGGAGTTGGGAAGGCCGACAAGCAGGGCATTTGCATAGTCGAGCCTGGAGGTGATGAAGGCATGAACAAGAGTTTCAGCGGCCTGAGGGGTGAGGTAGTGGCGGAGTCGAGCGATGTTACAGAGGTGAGGGAAGGTCATGGCTTGGATGTGGGGAAGAAAAAACAGTTGAGAGTCGAACAAGACACCTGGGTTCCTGACTGGCTTGGTGAGTTGTAGTGTGCAACCATGGAGGTTGATGCTGCCAGAGCCTGAGGTGCTGAGGCGCTGGCACGAGCCAATCAGGAGGGCTTCAGTCTTGTTCACATTCAACTGTAGGAAATTTGCCCTCATTTAGGACTTGATGTCCAACAGGCAGTCTGTCAGGACAGCAGTGGTCCTGGAGTTGAAGGTGGAGGCAGAAAGATAGAGTTGGGTGTCATCCGCATACATATGGATGTTGACCCCATGTCTGCGGATGATGTCACCAAGGGGAAGTGGTGTAAGAAGGGAAAAAACAGCAAAAATAAACTGTTACCATATTGAAAATGTTGGTGCTGCAGCAGATATGGTGGTAATATAAATGAGTAGCGTAGCTACATTGTAGGCCTCCTTCAGAGTTAATACCGTCCTTTCCAGTTATAGAGGGAGCAGGTTGTTCTCTCTATGCATTTGCATCTGTGTGGAGTCTGTGAGCTGCTAATCTGCCACAGGTATGGTGTGTGATTGCCAGAGTGTCTTGGGTTTGACAGTTTTCCACTGGTGTTATTCAGTACTTTATTTAACCAGTCAGTTTGGTGTTTTTTCCACACTTTGGACTATTTGTATTGAACAGACCCATTTTTGGTTGATCAGAATTGGTTTGCTGGCCAAATGCTGTGGTATCTCTGAACGAGGTTCACGTAGCCAACGATGATTTGTGCTGAGTCTTTGGTTGTCACTGGTGGTTGTGAACAATTGAACAGTCAGGAGACTGGTTGTGTAGGTGGACACCCGGGGCTCACAGTGCCTGAAACACTTGCTGTGCAGGAACAGTGAAACCTATTAACTCCATATGCCAAATGAGAAGAATACACCTACACCAGCACTTTTCTTACTTATGTGCACACAATCATTCCGTTATAGTCGTGGAATCTGTGTAAATAGGATTGCTGAGTTCCAGCTGTAATAATAAAGACTTTTATCTCTATGGTTTTATGGTGAGAACAGTAATATAATGAATGTACAGTCATGCTGCACAAGATTCCAGTCATTATCAAGCCACCATAATTAGCTTTCCAGCGATGTTTTCTTTGTACTCTGTAAAGCAGAGCAGCTTCACCTCAGTGATACAGAAATGTTTCAGTTTCCAGATGAGATATTAAACCGAAGTCCCGTCTGCCTGTTCATGTGATTGGTGAAGATCCCATGGCACTATTTGAAAAGAGAAGGGAGTTTCCCCCCATGCCTGGGAAAACAATCTCCCTAAAATTAGTCAATCATTTCATGGCTGTTTATGGGACATTGCTGTGTGCAAATTGGCAGCCACATTTGCCTGTAAAGTATGCATATTGCACTAGTCCTGTAGCTCAGTGGTTGAGCACTCGCTTTGCAAGCTAGAGACCTGAGTTCAATTCCAGGCAGGGCGAAACCTTGGGCAAGTTTCCTTACTCCACACGC